CCCCCTTACCCACCTCCCCTAACCTCGCGGCACCCATCCGGAATGAACAAGCCCTTGATAGATGGACACCGCGTAGGCCCCCTGCGCACGGGGGCAGCCGACAAGGGGTCGGGGGTCGGGAGGGGTCCAGCGCGACCTCCGCCCCCCCTGTTCGCCACCCTCCCCCCTCCCACGACCCTCCCACACAAGGTACCCCGCAGATCCCTGATGGGGTGAGGGGAAGGGGCTTGCAAGCCCCCACACACACACCCACGGACGGAGCATGCCCCCCCCTCAAGGGTAGGGGGGCAGCAGAGGGGGAATGGGTTTGGGGGAAAAGAGGGGGGAGCTCCCTTCTTTGGCAGCTGAACATGGGGAGGACCTGAGGGCAAGGCCCTCCCCCTTTTACCCACAATAGTGGAGGGGGCTTCCCAGGGGGAGGGGTGGCTTAAAATTCCCAAGCCCCAGGAATAAAGGGGGAGGGGCGTGCGGGAGAGGAGGAGCCATGCTGGAGGAGGGAGGGTGTCTCTGGGAAAGAAAGCAAGGCTAGGGAGGGGAAGAAGCTGTTCTTGCTGAAGGGATGGATAGGCAGCCCGCCTGGGAGGGGCCCCGAAGAGTGGGGGGGGGCGATGGGGGGGAAAGGGGACGAGCTTGAGAGAGGCTGAGAAGGAGGGCGTGAGGGAGGGGCGCCTGATTCACAGCAAGTGTGCATTTAGGGTTCTCCTTCCCCAGAAGAGCAGAGTGCAAGTTGCTAAGAGATTAAGAGGGAACACGGCGCCAAGGGCTTGTCCTGTAAAGAAAAGGCAGGGCTCTTGGAAGGAAATGGGAGATTGGCCCAAGCGGGCATGAGGTGAGATGCGACAAAAAAGAGTTGGTGGGACTAGAGGGGTTGCAGGTGGGTGGGTGTCTCAGTAGGGAGCCAAAGAAGTAGAGAAGCAAGAATGTGTGTGAGGCCAAGTCCCGGTGGGTGTGCAAGAAAGGTGTTCGTCGGGGAGGGGAACCAGCGGAAGTGTTGGGCAAGCGTGCAAGAGCGCAGGGTGGATAGAGATGTGAGAAAGAAGGGGGATGGGGCAGGGAGTGGAGGCCTGGCAACGAGGAGGAGGAGGAATTGAGAAAGAAATGTTTCCTGGGAGGCAGACATGATAAAAGTGACAGTGCAAGGAGGACCAGAGGAAGTAAGAGGGGCGGTGCGGCATTGAGCTTCGAAGGGGGCTGGGCCAGCTGTCAGGGTGGAAGGGGGCGGAGCCTGGAAGGAGCTCTGTGAGGGTAAGCGGCCAAGGCGATGAGGAGTCGGAGCTAACTCCTAAACGGGGCGCGGCAACAGTGAGTTCCGTAGGAGGCGGGGCCGGCTATCAGGTTTGCGAAGGGGAGGAGCCTGGAGTGAACTCAGGCGAAGGGTTGGAGCTGAAAATTCCTGCGAGGGGCAGGGAGATAGTGAGCTCAGGGTAGGGAGCGGGGGCAATAAGGAGTGGGCTTGAATGTAACGATTGGGGAGCCGGACCGAGCAAAGTGAGATGAGCAGGGCCGTGAAGGGGCGAGGCTAGGAGAAACTGGGTGTGGGTGTGGCAGGGTGTGTGCATGTAAATGTGGAAGGGTGGGTGGGGCTAGGGAGGGAGAGCACGCGATGGGGCGGGGCCTGGAGTGCAAGAGGAAAGCGGGAGGGGTCGTGAGATCTGTAGTAGAAGGCTGAGGTGCATAGCAGAGACCAGGGATGGTAGGAGCCTGGAGTGACAGCTCCGAGGGGGCGGGGCCTGCACTGAGCTGGTGGTCGGGGGCAGGGATGAGCGAGGCCTGAGATCTACGTTGGATGGATGCTAGGTGACCTGGGGGAGAAGACAGGGTTGCAGAGAAAGTCTAGGAGAGGGTCACAGGTAGACAGTCAGGCAACTGGGCTCAGGCAGGGAGGGACCAGGAGCGAGTTCATCTTTGTCTCCGCTCCGCCCCTTTCCTCTCGCCCTCGCCCCTTCCCCGCAGGTGGCTTATCACGGTCACAGACTTCCAGACTCGCTCGCGCCTGCTGCGCTCCGGCCTTAGTCCCCGCGGGCTGGCGCACCAGCTAGTGCGCCACGACGAGCTGTTGTTGAGCGACTACCGCCTGCATCTGCGCCGATCCCTGGCCCGACAGCGCATGCTCGAGGCCCTGGGGGCGGAGCCGACCGAGGAGGAGTGACGCGAGGGGCCGGGCTCTGGCTGGGCTTGCGCACCGCCCCTCCAGAGCCCAGGCAAAGGGGGCGTGGCCTACGCTGGAAGGAGGCGGGGTCGGCTCGAGGGGGTGGATACTGTGAGTTTAATTATAAAGAATGACCTGGTACAAAAGCCATTTCTCTCTGCAAAATCTTGGTGGGGAGTCAAGGGGAGGGAGGTGAAGGGAGGTAAGGATGAACCCCCGTATTATAATCCTGCCTCCCTAATCTTCCCCAGTCCCTGCAATTGTCTGGTGAGGGATAAACTGAGGCCCAAGAGGGAAGACTCGGGCGCCGGGGATTTCCATAAGTGCTCACCCCATCTCAGAGAGAACCGGATGCCCTGACCCGCCTCCCTTCTTCTCCCTCCCACCCCCCTTGGAA